CACACACACACACACACACACACAGCCTTGCTAGCTTTGCCTGTGCCCTGTGCTTCCATGTTCCCTTCTTTCTGGCTGTGTAGCTGTGTTAGGGCAGGGTTCATGTTGCAGTGCCTATTGCAGTACCTGCTGCAGCCCGGCCCTGTCTGCAATGCCAGCACCCTCTCCTGGCCTGGGCAGGGACCATAACGGAATGGGCACTGCATCTGGGCATCTGCATTCTCCCTGTGCATTCCCTTCTCTTATCTCAGCTGCTTTGTGTCATATGTCTGTCACCAAAACCACAATTGTCCTGCTCACAGAGGACAAGAATCACACCTGAGATTGTGCTGCGAGCGATAACTGCAGCCAGGGTTCGGGCTCCCATGGCGCCCTGTAGAGCACACTCCTTCCGAGCCTCTGCACTGTCCCGGGCACTCAGGAAGCAGGTTCTGCCCTGCGCTGCCACAGCCTCAGTCACCTCTGATAGAAGGCAGCCGCAGAAAGAGACTCTAACCACAGGTCCCAGTCACTTGGTAAATTTTGCCACCTTTTTTTTTCTTGCAGTTGCCAGCACCTTGTACATGATAGGCAAGTAATGTTCCCATATGTAGTACACTGCTCAAGTATACTGAACTGTACCCCCAGCCCTCTTTATTTTTCATTTTGAAAAAAGTTCTTGCTGAAGTTGCCCGGAGTGGCCAGGAACTTGTGATCATTCTGCCTTGGCCTCCCAAGTCACTGGAATGATAGGCATGTACCACGAGCCCCAGCTTAATTTTACTACCTTATTCTTAAGGGTGTTGGTACTTGTGTTTTTGTTTTTGTTCTTGTTTTTGTTTTCCTGTACTGGGAATTAAACTCAGGACTTTGCATTTGCCAGGCAGGCATTTGTGCTGCTGAGCTATATCCACAGCCCTGTCTTTTGACATTTTAAAAATAATTTTCCCCAAAACTGGATTAAACAAAATGAAATGGATAGTTTGAGGTACAGGAGAAACATGCCTAAGGTCAAAAGGAGCTTATAAAGTCCAGAGATTCTTGAAAATAAGAAGACAAATTCCTGTGCTTTCACGTAAGGCCAGAAGAGCAGCTGCTGCTTCGTGTTATTCCAGAAGTTGACAGCAAAATAAACTTGACATGGATTCTTGCAGCACGCTGGGACTGGAAGAGGAGTATGCTCCAGTTCTCACATTTCAAGAGAGAGACAGAAAGGGCGAGTTACGCTGCAGTGAGTTCTGTTACCCCCCGCCACAGGAGAAGAGGAGAGGAAGCTCTTCTGTGGGCAGCGCTGAGGAACCCAAAGGTGCAGCGAGGGAGACGGTGGAGCTGAGACTCGTGAGCCTCATGGAGAGTGCACTTTGGACTCAAAAGTATGATTTCAAAGGAGGCCTGCCCTGGAGAATGGATAGCGAATGGCTGTTCTGCTCCACCAGCCGTCTCATCTCGTCACATTTTGTTTTGTGACAGTGTCTCACTGTGCTGTTCAGGCTCGATTTAAACTGTGTAGCCCAAGTTGGTCTTAAACTGGTGGCGATCCTCCTGCCTCAGCCTCTTGAGTGTGGGATTACAGGCCCGCCACCATGCCTGGCCAGTCTCTGAATGCCTGTCACCACTGGAGAAGGTGCAGCTTTTGGTAGGGTGTTACTTGCCCCGGGATCTGGGAACCGCTACTGCTGCCTGCGCATTCACCTTTGTGCACCAGCACCTGGGTGCAGCTCGGGCACTCGGTGTCTTGGCGTTTCACCATCCCTGCTTCAAATGCCCATTTCCCCTCACGTGACTGTCTCCAGACATCTTAGCACCAAGATCAAAGGAGAGGTGTCCAGCACGTGCTCTCCAGAGCTGTCTCTGGGTGCTCAGGGTGGCAGTTGGGTCATAAGGAAGAGCCTGTCACTTTAGTCACTTCACATTCAGGGCACAAGCACATTGTTCAGTTTCCGAAGGATGTCTTCATTGGAAGCCCTCTTCTCTCGGCTTCTTCAAGGAGCTTAAGTTGCCTAGAGACAAATGGACTTGTAGCAAGCCCAGAGCTCAGGGCCAGCCTGCCCGAGTGTGAGTACACGTGTGCCGGCGTGTGCATGCATGTTCTTACTGGACAAACCTCTGAGCCTTTTATTCCTCAATTTACACTACTCTGTTTGCTCAGTTAGTAAAATAGGTGTAAGGCCTGTACCTCAGTAGGATTCAAATAAACCTCAGGGCAGGAACATTCTCATAGTGTTAAAGTCTTAACAGGGATCACCAGCATACATGTGAATTCAAAGAATGCTGAAAACAGCATACCTGATCCTATTGCTTTAGGAAAACAAATGTGAATTATTTGGCTGGTTTGGCACAGTTGAATTAGACAGACCACCCTCCACCTGAGAGTGTTCTATTACCCGTAGGGCCCAGTGAGGAGGGAGGCAGCTTCCCCCAACCCCCGCTGTTCCCAAGGCAGAGTGAGCCCTGTTACTCTGAGTACAGACAGCATGGCCTGGGAACAGGATAGGCAGGATGTCAGGCCCCACCCAGACCTGCTAGCCGTATCTGCATTAACAAGATCCTTCCTGGAGATTGTGTACATTAAAGTTTGAGAAGCACTGGGCCAGAGAACACAGATTTGACTATCACTTGAGACTTCTGCACTTTCTGCCTCCATGAGCAAACTCCCAGGGCCAGCCTGCTTATGCTGCGCCTGGAATAGACCCCAGTCGGGACCGTGCGTTTCCTGGGGGCTTGACAGCATGGTTCTATTTTTAGCAGCAGCATTCTTTAAGTCTGATCTGACACAGCCTTTACTTTCCTACAAAATTTTGAGTTGACTCCCAAAATATGTGCCCTAGCAGAAAGAAAGTAAATGAGGAAATATAGATTAAAGAAACAAAACAAAACTGTGGGCTGCAATAGAAAGCCAAGGCTCATAGTAGCACTCAGAAATGTTTGCCAAGTCCCATGCGGCTGCTACTTCTGGGTTACACACCATTTAGCACCGAGTTCCCTAGTGATAGACACTAAAAACAACACGATTAGTAACATCAAGACCGCGGTATTCAACACAGATTTTCTCGGTACATGGTCTGCTACAAATTTCTTCAGCCAACCTGCAGAAGTGACCAGGATCACTTGCATTTGCCATCCCAGTGTCCGATGTACTAGCATGAACAAAATGTAGTTTTGTGTTTATAAGATCCCTTCAAGGCAAAGGCCTGCTTACTCACGTACTCTGTGGTGTAGGACAGACCTTCTCTTCCTCTTGCTGCTGTCCTGTGCTGGCTTGGCCTTTGTTGCCACCTTTTTAATTAACTGCTCCAGCCAGTCCCTTCTCAGGCTGCTTCCTTTGAGCCCTCCTTATCAAGCCCTCGTCACAGTCAGTGGAGACCAAGCGAAGTGCAGCCGCAGCCCCCACGTTGAGCGCGGGGCTGCTGCCTGTGTTCTGATCCAGCTCTGCTCCCGCCTTGCCCTTGCAGTGCTGCAGTTAGAACAGTGAGATGCCAGGCCCAGGATTCCCTCTGTTCTGTCCTTCAAAGGCAATGAATTATGTTTTTCCTCCTTATACTTTGAGCTAAGATCATAGTATTTGTGAAAATATTTTTCATTATTTATTTATTTGGTACAGGGTCTCACTACACAGTTTGGACGCAGACTTGTAGTGATCCTCCTGTTTCAGCCTCCCCAACGTGGGAGTTACAGGTGTGTACCACCATGCCCAGTTTCAGGGCTAGCACAGCATGTACTGGGGATCAAACTCAGATCCTTGTGCTTTCTAGGCAGGTGCTTAGACCACCAAGCTATCTCTCCTAGGCCAAGACTGTAGTATGTGTTAGATCTTCAGGTCCTCTTTGGCCTGGACCTTCCCTGGATGTTCTGTATCTGACTAACCAGAAATTATCTACACACTTTTCTACCAAGTAATTAAGAAAATGTTTCTTAAAGTGTCAGGGCACATTTAACCTCGGGTCACAGAGGCTGCTCCATGAGAATGAGCTGAGGTGACACAAGCCAGACCACCTTGCCGTTATCTTTGGGAAGCCCAGCAGACTCGAGCCTGTTGTCACTGCTGCATGCCAGATCTTTGCACACCCTTCCCACCACGCAGGGGCTGGGCTGAGATCTCAGGGCAGCACCGTGAGCCCTGTGCAGTGCTTACTTCCATTATGCAAGCCCTGAGTAGTTCTTGTTTCCTACAAATGGGAGATTTTTGAAGAAGCAAAGCCATTCCTAAAAGACAAGTTAAATTTGTATGCCTCTTAAAGTTTCTGTATGTTATCCTTTCTGAAGTTCCTGTCCTTTGTGAAACATGGATGTGCCAGCACCTCTCAGATGGATCAGATGAGATGACCACGGGACACATTCCACACACAGGGTTCTGCCCTCCAAAGTGCTCCGTGTGTGATGGCCTCCTCCTCCATTCGGTCACCCTCTTCCTGAGTCTCTTTCAAGCCTGCACACAGGCATTGGGGGCCACCTCCGCAAGGGCTTGCTTGTGACAACATGTCTATGGATGGCCTCTCACAGCTCCGCAGCCCCTAGCCAGCCCACGCACATGAGTACCCACATCATCACCAAGCCCCGCATCACTCATTTTGTGTCACGTGTGCTGTTTTCAGGGATCCTTGAAGACTGTGGGCTCATGGGACAGAAAGATATCCTTTTCTGGTTTTATACATAAGCGTAAAAACATTCCTGAATTATATACCCTCCCCACCCCCCAGAGAAGGGGTTCAGCAAAGGAAGTGGGCAGGCAGGGCTGGGTGGCTCACAGGTGCTCTGCACAGTATGACAAAGGGCCAGGAAGCCATCTGGGAAGTGTGCGAGTGTGGAAGATGGGGGACTGCTTTGTGATGGGCCCAGAGTGGGCCCTTGAGCCGGCAGCAGGGAAGGATTGCTGTGGGAGATGCCCATTTCTAATAGAAGTGCGATGAACTCTCTCCCTCACTGGAAGAAGGAACGGCCATTTCCTGGTGGTATCGGGCAAGTCCAGTGGCTACCCATGGACCCAGCCAGGAAGGTAGCTTAATCTTTTTTCTCTCCCACAGGCAACCTCAGAACCTGGTCTGGATCCACAGCAAATCCAAGCATTTGATCAGCTTTGCCGACTATACCGAGGAAGTTCCAGGGTAATGTTCATGTGGCTTTTACTCTTCTGGTTCCCTATTTATCAGTTGTAGTTTGGGGAAGGCAGTGCCCCAGAGTCCTGCTCCTTGCCTGCTCCTGAGCCTGGAAGGGCCCCTCGCACTCTGTTAGGCCGTGAGGCCCTCCAGCCCTGGCCCGGGGGCACTCAGAGGGGGCAGAGGAAGTGGAGGAAGCAGCAGTGCTAACTGTCCCCTATCTGCATGGGCTGTGAGGTCTCCTAACAGCGTCTGTCTGCACAGCAGAGAGCACTCCAGAATCCTCATCCCTCACCAGAGAGCCTTTATTTGTACATATTTGCAGTTTACAGTCATTTTAGGGAATGGCTACATGTACGCACTACAGCTTCTTCTTTTTTTTTTAAAATCCCCTTTCCTCCCCTCTCTCCAGTTCTTCTATCCTGATTTACTTTCTTTTCTTTCTTTTTTTTTTTTTTTTTGGTGGCCTCAGGTTGCCTTCAGCGCAGGTCTGCTTTGGCTTGAGTATCTGGGTATCAAACCACAGCACCCTGAGGCTGACTGCTTTATTTTAAGCAGGCACTTAAACAACTGCGCTAATGGGCAGGCCCCCTCTATCCCAATTTTCAGTCTTGTTATTATTCATCTTAGTTCATGGTCTCCGGGAAGAACCAGTTTCCCAGCCTCCACCAGCTGTGCAGGGCCTGGCATATGTGAAGTATGTTTCCTTGACTGGCTTTTCAGTCCTCAAGCTCAGGTTCTTGCAGGCCCTCGCTCTGGTTAATAAGTGACAGGAACTGTGCTGTGAGATGGAAGTGTGGGTGCAGGTGGCCAGGGCGCCATCCGCAGAGCTCCCGCCAGGTGTCTGCTATCTTGCAGCTGTGTGTCTTTAGCCTGTAGCTGGTGCTTGCACTGGTCAGCATGGTTACTCCAGCTCTAATGGCCACATCTGCATTCCAGCTGCCAAGAGGAGAAAAGGAAGACAATAATAAGCCCTCCTGAAGGTCACTGTCTAGAGGTTGTTCCCATCTCTTTCTTGCTCTCACCTCTTTTAATGAGACTACAGACCCAGGCCCGTGTGTAACAACTGTGGAGGCTGGGAAACCGGCCTTTCCTCCCAGAGACCATGGCAGAAATGCGGTGCCTTCTCAGGGAGTGCTGCTCATCACAGGTTCCTGGGGCACTTTAGAAATGGTGCAGTGTCCTGTCCGGTCACTCAGAGGAGACGTGGCCATTCCCTGGGATCATCTATTGCCCATTACTCAGTGGGGAAGTCTCATAGGTATCTCCTCGCTTCTCGCTGGCCCTCCACACTGCTGCCCTCAGGCCACTGCAGGGTTTTGATTAGTTAGTAGCCCTGTGTCCTCCCCTGGTTATCTGTAAACCCCACTCTGGCCTATTCTCCCCTTGCTGGAAACCCATTCCTGCTCTCTGCAAACCCTGCCCCACACCCACCCCATGTCACACCTGGCCCCCAGCTACCTGGCTTCCTGAGCGCCACCTGTGCAGCTGCTCCTGTGCTCTGCATCATGCGCCATGCCCATCCTCACACGGACACTGAGGACACTGGCAGTCCCTTCTCGAGGGTCGGCCCGGGCAGAGGTTTTCACTCCAGGAAATGCCTCAGGCATCTCTGCACAGCGGCATCAGCCTCCCTCCCCAGCTGCAGCCTGCCCAGGAGCTGGGTTAGGGCCTTCCAAGGGTGCTCTTCTGCTGCATGCCTGAGCCCTGTCCCGGCCAGCCCTTTCCCAGCTGTGGAGTAGTAGCAGGAGGACACAAAATGTTTTCTGACACAGAAAACATGTTCTATGGTCAGCCTTTGTGGCTCACGAGGTCAGGGAACAAAGGCACCATGAGCTGTGTCTGTGGCCTGCTCTGGTCAAAGCCCTGTGCAGCCTCTCTACCCCTCCTGTCCCCTCCCCTCCCCTTCTCACCCTTCCTCCTTGCTGACTTCTGTCATAACTGATCCAGCCCATAATCTCCCAAATGAGTGTTTGGCAAAGACTTAAATGAAAGAGTCAAGTGCTATGATTTTAGGGCTACAGGAGGTTCAAAACCTAACAGAATTTGAAATTCTCACAGAGCTGAGGGGACAAAGAACTTCTCTGGGCAGCACATAAGTATTTGGTTTTCAAACAAAGGGGGTGGGTGGGAAGAACTACCTTACCTTTCAGTTGACATTTATTATAGGAGTTTGGGGCCTGCATCTTGAGTCTCTTTTTAGTTAATAGGGGTTACAGTGTTCTCAGCTGTGGCCTTATGTCTTTTGAAGTGTCACAGCTTCACAGGCCACTACAGGCTTCAGCAGGGACCAGTGACTCATAGAAGTTCACTTACTACGAACCTGCTACCCATCTCCAGAACAGGGGCACAGGGGCCTGGGTCTTGGACAGACTCAAAGTAAACATGAAAAGCCAATTGGTTAATTGAAATTGTACTCAGAGCTGCTTTGTAGTGGTCTCCATCTCTCTCTCTCTCTCTCTCTCTCTCTCTCTCTCTCTCTCTCTCTCTCTCTCTC